GTTCAAGCCCACCAGCTGCTCCTTGGGAGAAACATGAGGCTTTCTGCTCCTGCAAGCATTCACAGCCTCGGAAACCCTATACAGGGTCACTCTGAGTCAGAACAGACTTGATAACACTACAACGGATAGACATGGGGAAAGACACACAGGCTGAACGAGTATGGGAGGGGGAGGGAGAGTACAGCCACAGCTATAGGTAGGTTTGACAGAGGGTATTTGTACCTTTGCTGTAAACACATCTATGAATGTGGTGGAACATGTTGTTGTTGAAGCGCCATCAAGTTGGTTCTGACTCATAGCGACCCTGTATAGAGTGTCCGAGGAGTAGCTGGTGCATTTGAACCACCAACCCTGCAGTTCAAACTGCCCTTGAAGTCTAGTGCTTATTCTACAGCACCACATCAGGACCAGGGGTAAGATTATAAAAACTTCTTAGACATTACTAAACACCTTAAGGGAATGAATTGTTGGGCCTGGGGATCAGGACCATAGTCTTAGGGGACCCCATGGTCAACTGGCAAAACATAACCCACAAAGACAATACTCTACGTTCTACTTTGGTGAGTAATGACTGGGACCTTGAGCGGCCATCCAAGGTGTAACTGTTAGTCTCGCCCTGTGTGGGGGAAACAGGAGCAATGAGAATCAAAAATCCTTGAAAATAATGAGTCCAATGCACTAATGGAACATGTCAACATCAGTCTCCATGACTCTGAGACCAGAAGAACTAACTAAATGATGCCTACCTACCACTACCAAATGCTCTGAAAGGGATCACATTAGAAGGTCCTGGACAGAGCGGGAGAAAATGTGGAAGAAAATTCCAAATTATAAAAAGACCAGACTTACTGGTCAGATAGAGACTGGAGGAACCCAAGAGTAGGACGCTGGGTCTGAAACTAAACTCGCCCTGGCTTCATTTTTAGCCAAGCAATAGATATGGAGGGACAACACTAGTGAGACATGCACACCACAGAACAGTCAACCATTCAAGATCAAAAGGGCAGCTTTTACTTAAGGACAAAATTCAGAAGGGTCAGGAAAGAAGGTGGAATGGAAACAAGAATCCCAGGGAGGAAGTGAAATAACTGATGTTACAGAGAGGGGACTGCAACTATTGAACTGAAACTAAGAATGTTGTTGTTGTTGTTGTTGTTGTTGTTGTTGTGAAATGCCGTCAAGTCGGTTCTGACCCATAGCGACCCTGTATAGGGTTTCTGAGGAGCAGCTGGTGAGCTTGAACTGCCGGCCTTGTAGTTCAAACGGCTTTGCAGTCTGGCGCATTAACCCACAGCGCCACACCAGGACTCCGAAACTAAGAATAGGATTTACTAAATATAAAGCTAATGATTTGCTCTGTTTAAAAAAAAAAAAGTTTTATATCCAAGCAACCTGCCCCATACATGGTTAACAGGCTGGAGAGTGAGAGGGGAAGGAGATGAAGTGAGCAGAGCACAGGGCCTCAGCAACTCAGGGAGAGCAGTAGGAACGAAAAGATTTGGGTTTGAATCCCCACTTAATTGCATGACCTTGGATCCACTTCTAACTTCTGCCTTATCTGTAAAAAGAAAATGATACCAGCCCCCACACAGAGTTATTGATGATTAAATGAGATGACATTTCTAAGGGTATCTAGCACTCTGCCTACAACATAGGAGGCTTCTAAGAAGTTGTGGGTGTTAATGTGAATGGTCTCCACTCAAACCGCAGAGCCTTATCCTTATCACCTCCTACCTGCCTCACCATACTGAGATAGCAGGACGAAGCTGGTGACCTTGGAGGAGCAGGACTTACTCATATCCGAAATGACTTCTCCCTGTTTTTTCGTTTTTTTTTTTTTTTAACCTTTAACTTTTTAAAACATTCTGTCCTCTAGAGCATTTTAGGTTATTCTGAGATGACTGCCTCACCCTGTGGCCTCACATCACGAACCTTCCCCTATTTAGAGGAAGACCTGATCCAAATGGGCAAGCCATCCAGGGGAAAACGAGTGTCACAAACCACTTCACAGGGAAGCTCTGTGCCAGGAGGGACCACAGGCCCCATTATAACCCTCACTTCAGCAAGGAGAGTCCAGGCTGGCCTGAAGCAGGCCTGAATTGGTGAAGTTGGGACATTCGTAACATGTAATCTGAAGGACTACACTTAAAAGTTATGGCCGTAACATTAATCACTGACATACCTACATACATACAGGAAAAAAAGAAAAGAATTCTCTCCATTACTGTGCCTGGCAAGATGATGCGATTCCATATACTAAATGGCATAAAACACAACGATTGAGAACTCATAGTCATTTATTACAGGAGCAAGAAATTTGGTCTCTTTTTCACTATGCTTTCAAAGGGAAACATCCAGTAATTGCATGTAATCTATCAAGGGCCAATGAGCCCTCCGCTAAGCACACTGTTGTTGAGTTGATTCTGTCTCAATGACCTGGTGACAGAGGAGAAGTGCTCTCTAGGGTTTCTCAGGCTGTAAGTTTTTACACAAGCAGACTGCTTGATCTTTCTTCTGAGAGCAGTTGGTGGGTTTGAACCAATGACCTTTCAAATAGCAGCCCAATGTTTAACCCACTACACAACCAGGGCTCCTGAATGACCCCTATTGTTGCTAAGTGCTGCTGAGTCAGTTACAACTGACTCATAGCAATCTTGAATAGGGTTTCCAAGGAATGGCTGGTGGGCTTGAACTGCCGACCTTGCGGTTACCAGTCCAGTGCTTATTCTACAGCATCACACCAAGCCCCCCCCCCGGTGGGGTGTGGGGTGGGGAATAAGTGGAAGGAGGGAGTAAAGGGACAGGGTCCACACAAAGAGGATTTTGCTTCAATTTAGGAAAATTTAAAGAAATTCAATTACTCCACCTTATAAACTAAGAACAGGCAAACAATTTTCTTCCATAGCTACGAAGCCCTAAGAAACCACTAAATTTTGGTTGACTAAGATAGCTAGTTTGGCCAGTTGTGTGGAGGAGAGTGGGCTGGCAGGAAAAAGTGAGATGGAAGAGGAACGAGAATGTGGCGAAAAAATAAAGAGAAAACGGATGAAAAAAGGGAGAGAGAGAAAATGGAGAGCCAAGGCTAAGTGGATTCTGAGCACCAAGTGCAGAAGGCGGTACCTCCGGGTTAGAAGTGCACATGTGTCTCCCCTACCATCTGAATCCTGGTGTGGTTTAAACCACAAGGTCGGCGGTTCAAACTCACCAGCCACATCTCAGAAACCCTATACAGGGTCACTATGAGTCGGAACCGACTCGATGGCACTTCCCAACAACAACCTTACTCTGTCACATGTGTGTAGTGCCCACCCAGCTGTGCTTATCTGTAAAATCTTTATAGGGAAATGCACTCTACTCAGCAGGGCGGGAATCTATTATTCCCTGGGTACAAATGTTCTGAAGGAGCAATGACCAGCTGCAAATCCCACAGCCTCCCTCTCTAGTCAAAACTGGTTTCTCGTTCTGCTTAGTAAGGGATGGATGAGATTTCCATTAATTTGGCTTGGTCCACACAATTCTCCAACTTTAATGGAAGGCCCATTGGGTGCCTGGGGAACACAGAGTGCTCAAGCCCATAGTGACTACCACCCTCCCAGAGCTGACTAGTGAGACATGGGGGGTGGGGGTGGGTTGTAGCATCCATCCCCCCAGGGAGATGGGTATTTATTGGAAAACCAGCAAGGAGGGGGGCAGTCTTGTCTCCTTTCACACTCCTTCCCCAACACTCAAATCTTTCAAGGACAGCTCAAGTCAGAGCTAAGGAAAGGGAAAATGGGGTAAACCCAGAGACTAACCAGAAAATACTGAAATGCTGCAGTTAAAGCAACATTTCTGAAAAACAAAACAAAACTGCAAGTGTTCAAACTGAACACTGCATTCATTATCTGTAACCAAGTAGTCCATAACTCCTGAAATGAATAAACAGCCAGAATATTTTTAGTAATACTTAAATAAGTTCATAAAGACAAATCAGCCTGATGTATTACAAGATCTTAAAGTACCTTTGGAATCATTAAGAAGCAAATTACAGCTACCTGAGTTTTATTGTTAAGTGTATTTCTTGTACTTTGAATAAGGATCATTTCTTAAACATGGGGCCTAACATGTACCTCAATATAAGTGCTCCATAATCAAACAGATTTGGGGAAGGCTGCACATTACAAGAACCTCTTGGAGATTCAGTGGTATTTTAGAAATCAAGTTTTCCAACAAGTCCTGGATTAAAGAAACTTGTTGAACTTAGTTTAGACCAGCATTTCCCGAAGTCATTGGACCATGAAACCCTTTTTTTCATTTAATACTAACAACCTACAATTTGCTTGATGGCGCACACTACAGGAACATAGTACAGGGCACACACCGCTTCATTATCTGGACTGCAATTGTTTACCAATCTTTCAACTATCCTCGATAAATACTTTCCCCTGGTGGATTTCTTTTTGAAGTTTCTTGTTGAAATTCATTCAAGGACTTACTATAGTTATAAGAAATACTTTTTACTTAACTAAAATTGGATCTTGAAATGTTAACATAAAAGAGCTCAAACTAACTGCATTTCATTCTTTCAAAATGCTAGAAGTTTCTCATTCTCTTCTCTCAAGTGCTTTTAAATTTTCCCAAGGATATTTAATATCTTAAATTACTTTTGAAAGAAAAAAAATTGCACTCAAGAGCAAAATGCAGTTCTACTCTGATACAGAAACCCTGGTATGGTGCTATAGGGTAAGCACTAGACTGGTAACCACAGTTCAAACCCACCAGACACTCTAGGAAACCCTATACAGAGTCAGTGAGTCAGAACCGACTCAGCGGCACTTACCAACAACATCTCTGACACACATGGGGTCATCGTGAGTCGGAATTGCCTTGAAGGCAACTAACAACAACAAAATTACTTGATAGGCCTAACTGCAAACATGTGTAATTATATCTGTAATGTACATGTGGGTTTGAACATGTACAAACCCCAAAACCAAGCCCACTGCCCTCCAGTCAATTCTGATTCATAGCAACTCTACACAGCAGAGCAGAGCAGAGCAGAGCAGCCTCACAGAGCTTCCAAGGCTCAGAAGTCTTTATGGAAGTCCACTGCTGCATCCTTCTTCCTAACAGCAACTGGTGAGTCCAAACCGCCCACCTTCAGGTTAGCAGCTGAGTGTTTTAACCACTGTGCTACCAGGGCTCCTCTCAGCACGTACAGTAAATACCAAACATGGTACTATTATTTCTGTGGTTATGCTGTTGTTAACTAGTTACACTTTGACTATTCTAGAAATAGCATATATTTGAAAGCCTATGTTGGAGGTTTTATGGAAACAAATCCCAATGACTGAAAAACTTTCATCATTCAGTTAAAAATCAAAAAATAAACTCAACAAACATTTATTTAGCACTGAACAACAAGGTTGGCGGTTCAAACTCAGCAGCTGTTCCTTGGAAACCCTCTATACAGGGTGTCTGCGAGTCTGAACTGACTCAAGGGCACTTAACAACAACAACAGCAGTATGCATGGACACCTGGTGTAGCACTGTACTGTGAACCACAAGGTTAGCAGTTCAAACCCCAGCTGTTCCTCAGAACTTTATACAGGGTCGCTGTGACTTGGAACCAACTCTTAACAACTATATGCATGATGTCTTGATATACACTATAGAATATGCACTGGACTACCAACTGCAAGGTTGGAGGTTCAAACCCACCAGTCACTCCTCTGAAACCCTATTCAGGGTTGCTACGAGTTGGAAACAACTCAACCGCACTTACCAACAAACAACAATATGCATGTCAAGGAGCCTTATTGGCCCTGCAGGGGAAACACTGGACTGCTAACTGCAAGGGCAGTGGTTCAAACCCACCAGCTATTCCTCAGAAACTCTATACAGGGTCACTAAAAGTCGGAACCAACTCAGAGGCATTTAACAACAACACCATAGGCGTGCCAAGGAGTCTTAGTGATGCTGAAGGATAAGCACTGGACTACTAACTGCAAAGTTGGCAGTTCAGACCCACCAGTCGCTCCTCAGGAGAAGGATGAGGCAGTTTGCTCCCACAGAGATTTACAGCCTTGGAACTCCTGGCCTCATGGCAGCGGGTGGGTAGATGCATGCCAGTGGACTAGGCGCTGTAATCATGAATGTCCATTTCCTGGGCCCTAGTGTCCGGTAAGGAGCTCTGGCAGCATGGCACATGAACTGAGCTTCTAACCAAAAGGTTACCTGTTGGAATCACAGCAATCTACAGTGTTGCTCTGAGTCGGAACCGACTGCACGGCACATAAACCACCATTACCACCAAAGGTCTGATAGTGGGAAAGAATATGGGGAGTAAAGATACTCTAAGGGCAAGCACCTGCCATCAAGATGCTGATGAGTCATTCAGGGGAATTTTTGGACACCACACTAGACTTCTAATCACAAGGTCAGCAGTTCAAGCCCACCAGCCACTCCATGAGAGAATGATAAGACTTTCTGCTCCCTTGAAGAGCTAAAACTTCTGATACCCTATACAGGGCCGCTATGAGTCAAAACATACTGGTGGTGGTTACGTGTCGTGGAGTCGGTTCCAACTCATAGTGACCGTGTACAAGGATTCTGAGGCTGTAAATCTTTACGGGAGCAGAAAGCCTCATCTTTTTCCCGTGGAACAGCTGGTAGTTGGGAACTGCTGACCTTAAGGTTTGCAGCCCGATTCGTAGCCCCACTTGTCGGCACTTAATACCACCTCCACAAAAGCCAGTAAGACAGCTTTGACACATGACTTTCTTTCTAAAAGGGCTACTTTGGTGCCCTAAAAGTTTAGTTATAGTTAATGCAAAATAACCAACATTAGGTTGGGTCAAAAATGTGAAAGCTGTTAAAGTTTCTACTTTCATCTTCTACACTGTGTAATGATTTTTTAAAGTTTCTACTTTCATCTTCTACACTGTGTAATGATTTTCCTTTTAATGTCAGTTAGGAGGTTTAATGTATAAACATTCCCCTGATCTTATGAGCCACTTGAGTTAATCATCTAAAACCATCACAGACTTCTATAGGAGAAGAAATCCCACTTCTACTCATCAGAACAAAGTTGAATTTTTCACTCAGGAGAACTGTGTAGCCCCCGGGGTGGTGGGTAAATCACTTCTCCCGTGTTACGCAACATAGAAAAAGACGTTCCAATTTCATATAGAAAAGGTACTGTGAAGACTGCTGACAACATCCCTTAAACTAAACTGTCCTCATTTACAAGAGGGTCAAGGCCAATTTTGCAAATGATTCTTTCAAAAAGAGACCGAAATGACAGGAATGATATTCAGATATTCAACTATCTGCAGCTATGAACACAAGAATCCTCCCCGCACGCTAGTTTAAATAGAAATGTAAAACTACACTACACGTGAATTCCAGATTTAAATTTTCAAGCCCAAGAACTTTGAAAAGTTGCTACCCTCTGGCCTTTATGTGCATTGTTTTTCTTTTTATTGCCTTTCCTTTAGAAAATCTTCAAGACTAAACCCAAAAGCTCTGAAAAAAAAAAAAAAAAAGTAACAAGGCAATACACCCTGGAGAAGACACGCAATTAAACACACACACAAAATAAACAGGGAGGGCATAAATGCCCCGCTAAGATTGTTGAATAAAACATTAACTTTGTTCTGCTGTATGCTTCAAAAATCACGTCGCTGATAGTACTTTCTAATTACATGTGCTCTGACTATAACGTTTATGCTAATGTGAACCTCAAAATACACGGGCAATGAAGCACAACTGATGGCATTGCAGATTACATTTCCACAGTCCCAAAGAAAATGGAAAACTTCAAATGCATGTGCAAAGCGGAGAGAAGGAAAACCAAGCAGCGTGGCCCACGGCGGAGCCTAATGCCCCCAGTTTGCAAGTCAGCCGCCCTTTCCTTTCTATCACGGGAGCCAAAAGAACAAAGTTCACGGCGCTTTAACGTTTCCGAGGGGCGCCGGAATATCCGGGGGGTTGGTCCGTAACAACCACTCTTTGGGAGGGAACTGGTTCCAGCCAGTCCAGCTGCTTGAGATGTCTAATAACGTCCTAGGATCCGGCACCGCGGCTCTGAGGGCGCCCTAACCGTAACCCTATGAAACCATAACCCTATTAGCTCCGGTCCGGTCCGAACGCTGCTACAACAGGGAAGGGAGGGGAGTCTAGCATCAATCAAAGTTATACCGAGTGGGGAGACCCGGCATCGCGGTCCCAGAGGACCCTAGTGGAAAGTGGCCGCCCGACGGGTGTACCCTCCCCCCCCTCCCCCGCCGGCCGGGTGCCTCTTACTTTGTTGTCGCTGCTGCCGCGAGGCTCCGGCTCCGCGAGGGCAGCGACGCAGACTCGGGTCGAGGGGGCAGACTTCAGGCTGGGTCGGGGGCGCGACCCCTTGTGTCTGCTGGGCTGCGGTGGTGGCGCCGCGAGTGCCGGCGCGTCTTCGGCCTCCTTGCGGCCGTCCTGCGCCGTCCGGTTTTCGGAAGTGTGGATGCTCGGGGCGCAGCCCATGCTGGCGGCGGCGCCACGGACACGCTGGCGGGCAGCCGCGATCCGGTCAGCAAACGGCCCGCCCGGCGCCTCGGGGCCGCCGCGGGCGCCGTGTCATCGCCTCCTCGGCGGGAGGGCGGGCGGGCAGTGGCGAGCGCGGGTCTTGAGTCAGGAAGTGCGGCCGCCCCTTTTATCGCGGTGCGGGCGCAGCGGCGGCGGTGGCGGCGGGGAGGGGGCGCTGGGGCGGTCGGCTCGCCTCGGCCGCCCCTCCGAACATGCCCTTCCTGAGGCGGGAGCCGCCGGCCGCCTCCCTCACATAGCCGCGCTGCCTCGGCTGCTCCGCGCTTCCGGGGAAATTCGGGGGAGGAGATTTGCACTGTCCCAACCCCAGAGCCGGCAAGTCCGCGCCGCGCGAGCAAGCGACGCCGCCCTCGCTGTGAGGCAGCACGACCCCCGGGGGAGGTGAGCTCCCTGCCGAGCCCGATCTCAGCCCCGCTCCCGCCCTACAGCTCTCCAGCCGCCGCCTTCTCTGGCCCGAGCTCCGCCTCGCTGTGGACACCCACGCCGCTCCACCCGCTGAGCCACCGCCCCGCGAAAAAGCGCCCCTGGAAAGAGCGCTAATGGCGGGGAAGGGTAATCCAGACGCTCTCGCCGTAAGAGGTGTGATGAGGAGGGGGCTGACAGAAGCCCATCGGGGCTGAGGGGCCGCGCCCGCCGGGGTAGAGAAGGAAGCACGTTGGCCACAGCGGTGTCTGAGTCCGCGCCGTCTAGAAGCGCAGACGCGGTTACGCGCACGGGGAGTAGCGGACGGCGCAGCTCCAGTTCCGTACTCCAGACCGCGTCTTGCCGGCAGCATGCCGCGCCCAGCCTCCAGCGGTGGCTTCCAGCGGCTGCTGGCGTCAATGCAAAGCAGCAGGGGCGCCCGCCGCCCGCCTCCTCCTTCGAGTGCCGCCAGCAACTGATCATGCGCGGCCGCAACCGGAGAGGCGCACGGCCCGGATGGGGTCCGTGGTCCTGGAAAGGGCAAGGACTTATCCATGGACTCATAGCCATCAGGACCGGAAACCCTGGGTTCGAATCCCGACTCCAAAACTTGGCTGCTGTTGGCGCTGTCATGGGGGAAGAGGCCGGTAAAGGGACGTCCCCTTTGGGTGATTGTAAAAAATCTGAGCGCTTCCACTCCGGATCCCTTATGGTGGACTCTGGGTTTTGTTTTCCCGTCCTGCACGTGAACCTGATGCGCCACTCCTCGGGCCTTTAAGGCGTCGGAGCGGTGGCAGTGCTGAGAAGCTACAGGTTTGTGGCTAACTCTACCCAGCGGACAAGTCACCATTGGTTGGCTAGACGCCAGCGGTACCCTGCCTGCAGGAGCTTAAGCAGGGGAAGGGGGCGCCCGCCTCGAAGGGCTGTGCCTGACGACAGCACCCGACACACATTGCCACCAGCTCACTGTGAGACCTTAGGCGAGTCACTTAACCTCTCTGGGCCTGAGATTTCTCCCCGTCAGCTGGGCCCCCTAGGGGCCCATCTCGGACCCCTGCCAGCACTCCCGCCCTCCCAGCGGCTTTCAGTCCTAGGTGCCCCCGACTTGTGGTCCGGCCAGCGGGTCCCTTCTTTCTTTCTCCCCCTGTCCACACCTTTCCTAGAGCTGCCCGAAAGCGACCCTAAGATACAGCCACTCCAGTCCCAGGGCCGGCTACTGTGAAGATCCGGAGGCGCCTGCTCCGCACGGGAGTGTCTGCTGCGGAGCTGCGACTGCTACCTTCGCTCTAGGGTACCGTCTCTTGCAACGGCTGGGTCTCCGGGACGCTGGGGAACCTGTCTTTTGGGCCGTCCTGGAGCCCTCGAGCCACGATCTTCCAGACCGCGAGCACACCCGGCGATTCCCCTACCACGGAATGGTAGAAAGGCCGGTAAACTGAGGACAGATCTGTAGCGATCTTGAATTCTTCCTGTTTACTGGCCAGTTTGGCCTGAATCACAGGCACGTAGCTCCGCCGTCAAATTTAAGCACATAAAGCAGTAATATTTATACCTCCCTGCGTGGTTACGAGAGTTGAGCTGATAACCTCCAGGTCAGCAGTTCGAAACTACCAGCGGTTCCACGGGAGAAAGATGAAGCTTTCTGCTCCCGTAAAGATTTACAGCCTCAGAAACCCTATACAGAGTCGCTGTGACTAGTCGGCACTTAACAACAAGCCTTACAAAGAAGGAGCCCTGGTGGCGCAGCCATTAAGCACTCAACTGCTAACCAAAGGGTCAATAGTGCAAACCGACCCTTTCAAGGGAGGAAGATGAGGCAGTGTACTTCTGTAAGCCTCGGAAACCCTAGTGAGGGTTTCTGTTCTACCCTGTTGTTAAGTACCGTGGAGTTGGTTCCGACTCATAGTGACCCTGCATAGGGTTTCCGAGACTAAATCTTTACGGGAGCTGAAAGCCTCATCTTTCTCCAGCGGAACCGCTGGTAGTTTCGAACTGCCAACCTTGAGGTTAGCAGCCTGATTCATAATCACTAAGCTACTAGTTCTGCCCTACAGGGTCACTATGAGTAGGAATCCACTCCATAGTAGTGGGGTTTTGTTGTTTCCGTTTGTCCTTGTATAAATGTCTCAAAAATGCAAAAAGTGTTTTTCAAGCTATTCCACCTGAATTATCGAATGTTTTCTGCCCTTAACTTGTTATTTGTTGTTGTTAGTACTGTCAGTTCCGACTCATAGTGACCCTGTATAAGGTTTCCGAGGAGCAGCTGGTGAATTTGAACCGCAGGCCTTGTGGTTCAAACCGACCTTACCATCCAGCGCATTATCACCCAGAGCCACACGGTAAATTTCCAGGTGAAGAATCCCTCTGATAACACAAAAAGTAATCAGTGAAGAAAAGCTTTGAACCACCAAAGTTTATGAAAGCCAACCAGAAGCCCTCTCTCTTCTCCTTTAATCCTCATCGGTACTGGCCGGAAGTCCAGCCTTGATGACTCCCCCTGGACCCCAGGCTGCTCCAACTTCACAGTCCTCCGGGCTGGACATCCCCCCTCAGAAAGTCTTAAACTCTGCTGCTACTGGGGAGGCGTGGGCAGAGAAAAGGGGCTCAGCAGTGCAGAAGGCTCCTTGTGCCCCGCCCCCATCTAGCTAGCCCTTGAGTCACCCTGTGCCATCACCTCAAAGATGTGCTGAACAGCAACACTGACTAACTTCCAGCTGTGCAAGTTGGGGACCCTAGATGCTGAAACCCAAGGCTAGAAAGATGCAGGATCAAGGCATCTTACTAGGCAGGCAGGCTCTTCTATCTGTTTCTGGAATCAAAACAAGCCACCGGCCCCACCCCCTTTCTCCTAACTGGCCTACTTTCTTCCATACCTGAAACAATCTAGCAAAGTCACAGGCCCTTCGCCTCTGCTCCAAATACTTATTGTCAGTTCCACCTGTTCCTCTGTCTCTCCTTACCCCGCACCTTGACTCCCGGAATACATCACTTAGTGACCCTGGACTTTCCCTAGGAGTCAGTGATGGTGGGCACAAAAAAGGTCAAACTGACAGAAGTAACTCAAATCTTACTGGGGATTGCCACTCACTGACTCATTCAGGCCACCCAGGCACTTGCAAAGAATCCCTTTACTTGGAGGTGTAAGGGCACACAGTTTTCACTTGACTAAGAACCTAAAGGTTGTGGTTCAAACACACCTAACAGTATCATGGAAGAAAGTTCAGACAATCTGCTTCCATAAGGATTCCCAAACCCAAATCCATTGCTGTTGAGTTGCTTCTGTGTTGTTGTTAAGTGCCATGGTACAAGTTCAGACTCATAGTGATCCAGGATAGGGTTTCCAAGGAGAAGCTGGTGGGTTTGAACTGCCCATCTTGTGGTTAGTTAGCAGTCCAGTGCTTATCCTATAGCACCATGCCAGGACAGAGTTGCTGTTGTTATGTGCCGTGGACTCGGTTCCGACTCATAGCGACCCTGCATAGGGTTTCCGAGGCTGTAAATCTTTATGGGAGCAGAAAGATTTTCTCCCGTGGAACAGCTGGTAGTTTCGAACTGCTGACCGTGAAATTAGCAGCCCAATACATAACCTCTACACTACCAGAGCTCCTTGCCAGGACAGAGTAGAACTGTCTAATAGGGATTTCTGTAGCAGACAATCAACATCTGTCTCCTACAGAGCAGCTGGTGCTCTAACTATAGGCCTTCTGGTTAGTAGCTGAACATTTAACCACGGTTCCTTTTCACAAGTATTGGTAGTGGTTTGCGTCGTGGAGTCAGTTTGAACTCATAGCAACCCTGTATAGGGTTTCCAAGCCTATAAATCTTTGTGGGAGCAGAAAGCCTCATCTTTCTCCTAAGGAGCAGTGATCGATTCTAACTGCTGACCTTGCAGTCAACAGCCTGCATTATTGTTGTTGTTGTAGACACCGTGGAGTCAATTGCGACTCATAGTGAGCCTGTACAGGGTTTCCGAGGCTGCAAATCTTTACGGGAGCAGAAACCCTCCTCTTTCTCCCATGGAACAACTGGTAGTTTTGAACTGCTGACCTTGAGGTTAGCAGCCCAATTCATAACCACTACGCTGCGAGAGCTCCAGTAAACCCCATGAAACAGTTCTACTTTGCAACACATGGGAAATGACTCCGTGGCAAATGGGGTTTAGGAGGTGCCTAAGGAACTCCCTGGAGTCCTGATGTGGCGCTGTAGGATAGGCTGCTCACAGAGTCATTGGTTCAAATCTACCAGCTGGTCCTCAGGTCACAATGAGTCAAGCCAACAATAAAGGCGCTCGAACAATCCTGCTGCAGGGAGGACACACCCAACACCATGCCACCCATGCCTGGGTGGAATTGTGAACCACAGCCGCTAGAACATGCCTGCCCACTCCCACTCACAATGCAGTCCACCCACGGTCCAGGGACTCCCCAAGCAGAGCTGCTTACCACCCGCCCACAAGACTCAAAATTATGATTAAATGTCCTCTTTAATTCTTACTCCTAGGATTCAGGCATGAGGTCAGTGGGGCTGGGAGAGGAGCT